AAGCTGGTCTGTCTCACAATATTTCTGCTTTTGGCTGAAGCCAATATAGAAAAAAGTGAAAAGGGAAAGTTAACTAAGTTTTGTTAATAGTCATGCAGTTCAGCAAGATGAAAATATGTGATTAGAGTAGTGGGATGAGGCTTTTATTAGCACAGCAGGTAACTTTACTGGCCTCAGCATCTATGCCAGATAGATTATCTTTTTTTACTGCTTGAGATTGCAAAATCCTCCCTATGAATCCAGTTTTAAAATAGTATGTATCACGCTTTCTGAGGATAAAAATTTTGCATTCAGCTAGTTAGAAGATGTGGTCACATGAAGTCATGAAAAATTCTGTTATCTCTTCCTGTCTTCTTCAGCCACTTAAAATATAATTTAACAATCCATACTTCTTATATGTCACCTCAGGTTAAATATTACATTAGAAGGTATAACAATGATGAAGATTTAAAATTAAGTTATTTACTGTTAATGCAGTAAAGCCTCTTCCCTTTTTCAATTTTTTTTAACATTTTTATTGCTTCTTTGAATGTCTTTGCGATTGGCCATTTACTTTGTTCGGCTCAGGAAATATTATTGTTAAAACAGATGTATTCAACCTATCATTAACACATGCACTCAGATGTATACAATAAAATTATCTATTTTATTGCTTATCAGTGATTTTATCAATATTTTTCTCTAGAAAGACTATGTCTTAGATTTTATTCTTACCATGCCATTTTTTTTCCTGCCTAATTCTACCTGAAAAGCCTTGTTAGGACAACTAAGAAATAAGATTTTGTCACAATAGGTAAGGGAGGGGGGCACCTGGATAAAACGTACTATGGGTAAATATGAAGGCTTAACACACACTGATAGCTGGACATTACAAACCCTTTGGGTTATCAGACAGAGTAAGTTGTTTGTCAATTAATACAGAAGATAGAATTTAAAGATTGTATTTATTTCTATTTGAAGCACAAAGTAAAAAACTATTTCTGAGGTAATATATTATTGTAGTATATTATTTTTCTTCTCTTATGATAATAAAAAAGGTGTAGATGAAAATGCCTGACAGCACTTGGAAACTAAAGTCACAAAGTTACTTTAGACTTTATACTATGAGCAGCTATCTGATCATTAATACAGGTATACTCAAAGAACATAGATTCAAAAGAATTAAGTCCAGAGCTCTGCAATTAGGGGCACAACTTCATATAATTTCTCCTTTAAATGTATTTGACGTATGACAATTGTATATAACAAATACACATATTTGAGTTTTAAAAAAAAAGTAGAAATTTACTGTACAAAGCAAGTATGTGGTGTTGCCAAATGATACAAAAAAGAGATTACATTAGTTGTTTAAATTTCTTTGAAAAAAAAGAAATCTTGTACATAACATAACGGGGTTTGAAGCTTTCATTTCAGTCCTTCTTTCAGCTCATTGTTCTTCGAATTTCTTGCCATTTTGCTTTTCTCTTTTGTCTTGCACAGACCACCAGACTACACCCACAGTCACATTTGGGAAACTTTCCTGACATGTGGTTTCTGCAGTTTCCCTCTGCTTTTCTTCACTGGTAGAAGGTTCTATCCTCTTGTTTAGCTGTTTTCACAGATGATTATTAAAACTCTTTTCTTTTACTTACTACTGGATTGTTTATACATTATCCCATCACTTCAGTTGGACTGTACTCCTTTACAAAATGTGGAAAGTATAAGCTTGTCAGAAGAAAACTTTAACAAATAGGGTTATAATCACCTGGAAAAAATGTGTACAGGTAGGAAAATACAAAATGTACATATTGGTTCATTAAGATGAGATACAGGCTATCTTACCTCTTCGTGGAACATCTCTCAAAAGCAGGAATAATAATACACAGATATCTGAGCTGTGCAAAAAAGCAGAATAATCTTCAGGGCCCCTTTCAAATCTTAGACACTGTACTGGGGCATTTACCTGTTGAACAGAAACCTTTCTCATCTGCTGAGCCAGTACTTACGCACAAGGTAATGCGCACTTCTGTAGTGACTTTCAAGGAATGCAAGTATATATAAAATATCTCATTTTCTTTCTTTTTCCGTCACTTAGCTGCCTAGCCCTTGAATACATATAGATAAGAAATTTGTGCATGTAGAAAACTTTCTCTGTAACTCTACCTCCTTTGGTCAAATTTTAAAATTTCAAGACAAATATGAAAACTGATACTGAGAAACAGTGTTTTTATTCAAGTGATTGTCTGTAGATGCATTTACATGGTGGTATGCATACACTAGCAATGACAGAGGAACATTTATGCTAGTGTATCCACGGGAAACCTACTTTAAGCCCACCTGCCTTTACGTGCAGCTCACATGGTAATAGAAGTGGCAGAGCATTGCCTTTCCTTCTCTGTTTCTCTCAGTTGCTTTTCTGAGCCACAAAACTATGTTGTCCTTCTCCTACATTTCAATTCTATTTTAATTTCTATAAGGACTTCTGTTATTTGTTCATTCTGGGTTTTTTAAGGACTTCAGCTTAAAGTTTTGTCTTGGATACTGCCCTTTTTCCATATGCCGTGGCATCTGGTTTTTACCCTCACACTGTATGGCTTTAACCTATCCCTTCCAGTCTCAAGATTTGTACTGCCTATGGCAGAAAATGTTTCATTCCCAACATGCCTACCCACTGCTTTTGCTTTCTGTGAGAAGGAAACATCACAGCTAAGAGTTCTGTTTCACGTTTAGCCCCAGAACTAAAAGAAGATGAGCTGCAGCATCTTCTGAAATCTTTATTTACCAAGTCCATGAGTAATTTGATAGATTTGCTCAGCAAAGCTAACGCATTACAGTTGGACCCTACTCTGTATCTATTTTGTAGTCGATAGTTGATATATTTTCTTAAGGATTCCTGTAGGAACAGAAGACTTAAGTTAGCCAGAATTAAGTAATTCGCTAGTTTCTGTATTTATTGGACAAAGAACTTTAAAAGAACTACTCATCTTTCCAGATCCACATCTGAAAGGTTGAAAATCTAACAGAAAATGTCTGGCTAGATTATAGCTTGTAAAAAGAAGTTCTGATAAAACACAGGTATCTATGCTTACTATAGAGGTCCACTCCACTGATAGGCCCTTTGAAGTAAAAATGGTTATTTCTCTAGGTTATGTTGCAATACTGGAATTTCCATCCAACCATTTGTTAATTATTATATTTACAATGAAGTTTCTGAAAATGCTGCTGCATTTTACAGTGTTGTCTTTCAGGTTCTGTATAACTAGGCATCCTGAGAACCCCTTCTAGATGGTTGCTGGCAATATCTTGCTTAGTGTTACCCACAGATTGAGTAAACATGTTAAAAATCATTCAAAGTAGTAGATATTTTCCCACTATGGCATTGGTTCTGTCCACAAAGAAACTGAAAATAGATCTAAAATAATGTAATCTTAAATGGTGGAACATCTTACCTCAGAGAGAGATATATTTCTTTTCAAGCATCTCTGTTTAACAGAGTGCAATGAATCTTTGTGTACAGCATTGGTCAGTGACTGTGTAACTTCAGAATCTGTGCTTAAACAAAATTTAGATTTATTCCCAATGTGCTTTTAAGGTACATGAAGTACCTTAGGTGCTGCATGTCACTTTATCACATACTACCAGTTCCTCTTTGCTTGAGGCAACCAAGTGAATCCCATACCTGTTAGTTCAGTCTCACAGTGCCAAAACTACTGGTTTCTAATTTACATATGACATGTAAAGATGTGCTTGATAATGTGAGTTCACTAATAAACTCAAGAGCATGAGAACAGGCAATGATGTGTCAGACTAAAGGTTCACTAACACAGTATTCTGTTTCTCATACTAGCCCACAAGGGATGGTTAAGAAAAGGTAGAACAGGGCAAACTTGTAGTCTTGGTTCCCTTCCCAGACTGCTCTTCCACCTTTAAGAAATCTGTGGCTCAGGAATTTTCTAAATCAGAGGGAATACTTTCATATTGAATAACTGTTAATGGATTTTTTTTCCCTGTAATTTGTCTAATATGTAAACTTCTATGAGCCACTGCAGTCCTGCTCCAAGGACTTCCAACTTCTCAACTGTGCTTTGTCTAAAGATAACTTTGATTCTGAACATACCACCTGCTAATTTCGTCTGATGCTCCCAGTTCTTCTCCAAGAAGAGAGATCCCAGTGTGCCCTTTCACTCTACTTAAGATTCTGTACACCTGTATCACACTGGTCCTCCTTTTTCTCTTTTATCACTTTGAGTGTCCTAGTTCGTTAGTCATTCCTTCTACAGAGCAGTTCCCTACCCCAATTATTCTTGTCTTTCTCTAAATCTTTTCTGATTTTATTATAACTTTTTCAAGATGGAAAAAATGGACCAGATCTGATCACTGTATTCAAGCTCAAGACACACTCTTTTCTATATAATTTCTAAGGGCATACTTAGACATTTTTCCAGTGTAATTTTTATGTCCTTTAGTCATATTTTACGTTGACTTTTCATACTCTGAGGTGCACCATGGCTCTTTCAGAGTAGCTGTCATGACTTGTGTAACTTCCCCTCTTAAATATACCTAAATACTCGTTTGCATAGGTACAAGAAAATAATATTATCACTCCTTTGTCTTAACTGTCAGACTTAACGTAGGAAATAGAAGACACTATGAGAGTAAACAGGAGTGCCTGTTGCTGTGTTAGATGTGTTATTGATCTGTCTGGCCAGTATGATAACAACCGATAAAGGAGATTTGTACCCTTCTGAAGTGACAGCTATACCTTGTGGTATAAAAAAATGATAGATACCTTTATTTAGGCATTGGATTTCTGCCTAGATGGTGGTGTGTAAAACAGTCAAACTCTGATATGTCAATCAAAAGAGCTTTGAGTTCCAAATTAACCATATTTCTTGGTGAAGGCAACACAGCAATAGCTGCAGTTTTGAATAAATATGTCATACCAATCTCTTTTTTTCAAAGATTTGCATATAAATATGTATTGAATATTTAAAACAATACTTATTTTGATTCTCATTTAGGATTCTGGGGAGATGGTTCGATCCTTTGTTGGTGGTTTGGAACTGATAGTCAGTCTTCTAAAATCAAAGAATAAAGAAGTTTTAACTAGTGTATGTGCAGCCATTGCAAATATAGCTAAAGATGAAGAAAATTTAGCTGTTATGACAGATCATGGAGTCGTCCCTCTGTTATCCAAACTAGCAAACACAGTAAGTAACATCTAAATATATTATACAAAGTATCTGAATTTCTTACATCAGACTGCATTGTGACCAACTAAAAGGTTATGGTAACAGCAGTAGCTTTTGCAGCAACTACAAGGAAGAGATGTAGAATCCTTCCTGTATGAGATGTATATTGGGCATGAAAACACTCTGTGTCGGGTACTAAAATTGCTTTGGAAGATGAGCTTCATTTTAATAGTTTTTGTTGTGGAATATTGCTTTTGAGAGATGCAGCTGCCATATGAAGAAAGCACAACGGGTTGAGAACACAACAAATCTAAACATGCAGAGAATCTCAGTGATGGGTCTATATTTTACATTTTAATGCTATCTTATCTAGTTTCCAGTCAGTACAAAAGTACCTTTGAAATAATGTAAAAAGTCACAGCATTTCCTACAAAAAGAATATTAAAGAGACTCTCCTAGCTCTGTGCCTTACAACTGTCTCCAGCAGTTAAATTGGGACGCCTTAATGATATTTGAGAATACAATTCTGTTTTCCTATGAATTTTCTGTTGTATTGTATTGACTTTAATGTCTTATGTTTTTGTCTTCTTCAGAATGATAACAAATTAAAACGTCACTTAGCAGAGGCTGTTTGCAACTGTTGCATGTGGGGCAGCAACAGAGCTGCCTTCGGAGAGTACAAGGCTGTGGGTCCTTTAGTGCGTTACATGAAGGCAAACGATCCGTCAGTTCAGAGAGCTGCAGCTCTGGCTTTATATCAACTTTCAGAGGAGGCTAGCAACTGTATCATAATGCATGAAGGTGGAGTGGTGAAGGTGAGATGGAAGGTTTTTCTTATTTGGGGCTCAAATTATTGAAGAGGTTTGGCCTGGTCAATTAGCCAATTAGTGAATTAGGGATTTTAGTGCTAAAGATATTTCAACTAAGTTGTTGTTGGGAATGGAAGTACAATATGGACATTTACTTAACTCTGACTAAGGCTGGTAGTGACATCACACATCACCATTTTGTCATTCTCAAGTGACATTTGCAAAAGAAGCTGGGTTATCTCTAACGGATAGCTGCCTAATATGGCAGAAAGTCACGTAGAAAGGGAGTGTAAATGCATTTGGGGACAAATTAAGATAGAATAATACAAAGGCTTAGTTCAACTTGAGCTGTTTCAATGAATTCTGCATTTACATTTAAAAATTCTTATTTTAGGAGTTAAGCGTGAGCACATTCTGCTAAGACCTTACCGTACAAAGAATTTTTGTCTCAAAAAGATTTTTCTAGCAAAGTTTTATCTCACTAGTTGAAGCCAGAAGAGTTACTCCTTTGGTACAGGAGAGATGAGCATTATGACTGTAAAGATGGAGATAGCAGGAGTTCTCAGTTGTCATAAATTCCCTGAAAGATTAATTGTATGCAGACTTTTCATTTTACTTGATGTTCAGGTAAATGTATTGACAGTAAGAGTTCACTTATGATGCAGTGTTATTATTAATGTTGATTTTTTGCCTGCACTTATGATAGTGCACTTTATTGTGAGTGGTTTCAGTTCTGGCATAGTTAATGGTCCTGCATTATCATACATTTATCTGTAGTTGGCTTCAAAGGATCCACTGGTCAAAAATATTTAAAGGCTCAGTTTAAACGCCAGTACTTGGACTTACTCAAATCTAAGCTATGCTTTTAGTGCTGGAAACTAACACCTTCCCATCCCAGTTGCATTATACAGGTTAAATAGCACATATAAGATATATATAGCACATAAACGGGATATATACAGTACTGCAACACGAGCACTTGTTGAGTTTTTAATGTTGCTTATCTCTCCATTCAACTCACACAACCCATTTTCTGACCTCCTGTCATCTGTTGTTTTCATTTATTTTATTATGCAGATTTTAGGTTTTGTAAGTTGTGGAACAATGAACATAAAGGCCATTATGATGATGCACTTTTACAATAATTCCATCTCTGTCTAGGTTCATCTTTATTTTTCAGTCCTAGTTAAAGTGTTTAAACTAATTAAAAACATTAATTTGCACTTAAAAATAAATAGGGATGTACAAAAAAATATTGCAAGGGTTTAGGTTTTTTTATTATTCACAATATTCTGGATTGAATATAATATGTTAAGGGAGATAAAATAGAACTCATAAAAGAAAGACCAAAACTGCAAAATAAGGAAACTTGGATTATATTTATTACATCTAGACTTTTATTCCAGGGTGCACTTCCCTTCTTATGTACCAGAAACTTGTATTTTTGTAGTACAGTGGATAAGTGTTTGAATGTGGGTTTGTGTTTGGTTCATTACAGAACCAAAGTGGAAGTACCTCTCATCTTATAACTGATGGATGGCCTGAACACAAGAGATATGTGACTGAATCTCATCATGTGAGCCAGCACACAAATGTATTTGTGTCATACCAGCAGATGAGCATTAGTGGTATGACAGGAAGCAGCTGCATTTTGGTTCATGTTGAGACTATCAGCCAGGGTAGAAGTTCTGCTGAAAAAGACCTGGAGTGTAGTTTAAGCAAGTTGAATATGAACCTAGTGCCCTGGGAGAAGTGAAGGATCCTTGGCTGTGTTACAGGGAGCATAGCCAGTAGGTCAGGAGTTCAGAGATTCATGTTAATAAACCATGAAAAACCTAGACCATGGTGTCTTCTCCCTAGGCCATAAAGTGACAAAAGTGCAGTGAGAGGTCGTCAGAGCTCTCTTAAGCTGTCTTGAGCTTTCTTACCTCTCTAGCTTTGGTAGCATGGAGATCAGTGTCAGATGATTTGCCTTATTCTAGTACTATGACTGCAGCACATACCCTTTTTTTAGAAAGGATGTAGTTTGGTTTTGCCCTTATTTTTCAGGGTTTTTTAGTTCTCCTACCCACAAAAGGATAATACCTGTGGTCATCTAGAGTTTCTAACCCTAAATAAAGTCTGATTTAATTAGCAATTACCCTGCTGTGACACTTTATGATGCTTATTTGTTGTCTTATACCTAGAATGGCAAAACAAAGTGAAGGAACCAATAGGTCTTTTTGGAAGACACATCAGACTGGTGACATCAGACACAGTGTTTCCTATCCAGTGAGGATAAATGACTGAAACATGTTGGGCAGTCTGAGAAACTATGTTCTGTTGGACCTTTGATAGTTTCTCCAGATGTGCTAGTCCAAGTGCTTTTGTTCTGTGTTGCCAGAGCTGAGCAGATCATGAAGCAAATCAACACGTGCACCATGACAGCTCAGGGCACAGATGGCCAAAACTTATGAGCTTGACTTCTGTGGTGGCACTGTTGGAATTGCTGTCAAGAATCAATTATTGAAGTTTCAGAAAGGCTAGAGAGGCAATTCCAGATGGCAAGACAGTGGGTGGTGGAGATTTAGATGCTCAAATACAAGAGTACAGCGGTGAATCTTGCCTGGTCTATTCAGTTCATCTGCCCAGCACAGGTGAGACAGTAGTTGCAGCACTGTTGTCTGTGATATTGGATATTTTTGCTCCGTGCTTCTCAGTGATGGCAGAATGTCTGTGTGTTTTCATTCTTCTAGCCTCTCCAGTGACTGAAAGCATACTTTGTATTTAAATAGGGGTTGTTATGTACAGGTTTTTCCAGGACCAATTATTTTTACTGGAAAATTTGTTTGGGTTCCTTTGATATTTTTTCATCCTTTTTCCAGATATCTGGTATTTCAGTAATCATACCCAGTTGGATTAACGTCACAGCTGCTGTAGTTCTGACTAGGTTGCAATACATGCATAATCCCAGGTGTTCTTCAGCACGTATTCATGTGCTGTGTTCGTTCGCATGCACAGAAAGTCTGATGCTTCAGGGAAACATTTACCCTGTAATTGCTGAGTGCTTGAACAGTTGGTCAGAGCCTTTTAAAAGCATTGGACTTTCTGACCATTCCTTATCCAATGTGTATATACATGTTTTTGTCCAGGAAACCAGGAATAAAATTATATAGGGAAAGTAATTTCAACCAGATTCTTGTATTTCACATTTTGCCACTGCTTCAAACAGTATTTGCTAATCACCAAACAACAGGTGTATGTACACAGTTGTGAGAAAAAAACCCGTGTTCTAAGTTTTCACCTATTTCTAACTGCACCCAAAATACATTCAGTTTTCTCAAGCGAGTCTTGTATGATAAAAAGCTTGGGAAATCACTGGTGTATGTCAGCTGTCATGTGAAATTCTGATTAGACAAACAGGGTAATTTTGGAGGAAGTTTAGAAAGGCAGTTTATGAAGTTTTTCTTTTATGCTCAATACCATGCTCAATGTTCTTATGACTGGAAATGGAACAATGGTTATGACCTGTGACAGATGAATCAGTGCTTTCTTTCTACAAAGCACCAGAAAATATTTCCTCTTTCTGAAGTAAAAATTCATGGCTGTGCTGAAAAATAGATTTCTATTTTCAAAGACCCAATAATGACATGTTGTGGGACACTAGAGGGCAAGAGAAGTTATGTTAGACATCAAACAAGTATCAATCTGAATTCAAGATTGGAGATAGCTATCCACAGACCAAAGGAGAAGAGAAATCCAATAGGGATTTGGCAGTTTATAGCCAAGAAAAGCAGGAATAGCAGGCAATGCTCTTCCCACTTGGAGTCTGTCACAATCATAGGGAAGAGAAATAGCAAAATTCAGAAGCAACAGGAAGCCATGACCACATTCTTTGTGGAAACAGCAGAAAATCTCCCTTAAAGCGACTGAAGAGGAACAAAGATGTCTACCTATATTTGACTGCTGCTGAAACCTTAGAACAATCAAGTTCATTCATGAAAAGATCTCAAACTGTCAACTGATTATTCCTGGTCATTCTTCCTTTGCAAGTGGAGAAAGATAAAAGGAAATCTATCGTGGAATTTCCGTTATTGTGGAAGTTAATTTCTGACTTTGTAAGTGATATAAAGGATTCGTTTATGTGGAATATCATTATTATATCTGCGTAAAGAAGGCCTAGGAAGTTTGAATGGCCTGAATGGCCTGATCGCCTTCAAGAGTTGGGCCAGTTTTTTATTATGAGCATAATGAGACCTCTAAGGAGATTATTATAGTAATTAAAACAGTAAGAACAAGGGGAAAAAAGCAGTCAAAGTCAGGCTGTGGAAAAAACAAAATTAATCAAATTAATAATTCATCTTAACTTTAAATGTTTACATTTTGCAGCCACCAAACTGAAATAGTCATCTCAAATTTTACAATAGTCAAGGAAGAGGAGTTGATTCTTTACTGTGTTTCATCTCTCTTAATTTGGACATTTATGCAAAGATAAGGCACCTCAGTTTCTACTGAGGCAATGTTTTCTGGTCTCTTTTGGCTATAATGGGAGTGCAGGTTTAAAGGTCAGATCTGTATATCTACACTATAGGTATCTATGTTTAGTGGGGTGAATCCCATCCCAAGGCAGTGGAGAACTTTTTAAAATTAATATACAGTCCAGTCCATTATTCGATATGAGTGACAGAATTCTGAATAATAGTGCAATAAGAAAGAGCTATTAAAAAAAATAATTTTTCTTTTCCTAGAAGAGTACAGATGAGTTGAATTTATATGCTATGATGGTGATGAAACTCAATCTGCCCAGCAATAACTGAAGCACACTTTGTATATGATCTAATAATGCCAGATGTTTTAAATTAGTGGATCTAACTGACTTGAAACTGAGGATTTTGAAGGAGATCTTTGGAGTATTAAGGATGGATTCCTTTCATCTAACTTTGGCCACTCTTAGGTATTGAGTTTAAAGCAGTCTAAACTAAGACACCTTCTGTAGTCAATGGAAAGAGAGAGACACCTGCAGACTT